GAAATATTAGTAATTGATCCACAACTTTGTTTCGTCCATATTTTTCCGTGTAATAAGTGTCAACAAATAGAAAAAAAGATAGTGTCCGATGCAGAAATGCGCGCTCTACAATTTGATAACCTTCAATCAAATTTGTTGAATTTTAGCTTCTACTTTAATCATATTGGTTGACCGTTACGCGTTTTGATTGAAAAGCATTTTCAACATACAAAGCGATTACGATTTCAGTGCCCAGTAAAATCGATGAAATAATCGGTACGCTAAAATTCAAATGTGTCGTGATAATTCATTTTCTTCTTTCTTTTTCTGCTCTTCGGCTCTATTGTACATATGGCAAATAGAACATATATATTTGTATTCCATCTCGGATTAACATCAATTTTAAATACACGTAATGAATATAAAATTCATATTGGTATAGTCAAATAGTATGTGACTGTGAACTAGTTTTCGGAAAACATTCGAGTTGTTTCTAGCTAGGTGTTGATTTGGAACATCTGTTATCCAGCTGTTCTGAAACAATGGCATTATATCTAATAAAATCGGCGACAAAGAAATCAATATATGATTCAGAAAGTACTAAATGAGTGTTTTTAAATGAGCAACTAATATGGAAAATTATGCATTAATGTTTATGTTCCAACTAAGTTTCTCGATTGATGGTTGCAGTGTTCGAAATACCATTGTTTTAGCAGAGCTCCCCAATACTTATTTCAATCAAATGTCAATCTAGGAACTAGAACAACTCCAAAATAAGATTCCGATAAACCGAGTTGAATCAAATGTTGAACGGGTTTCAACATTAAACCTTAATATATAAACGCTTTGCTCATATCCTCCCCTCCTCATTTTTCTTAAATTTCAAGAAGTAAAAAAGATAGAAATAGTACAGTTTGCACAATGTGTAAGCGATTTATCTGCAAAAATTGTAAAAGAAAATAATAATTCATTTCAACTATTCGAATTAAGAGTATAGCAGAAAAATCAGGTTCGATTCGCTAATTAATAAACGAGGTAGAGTAGCTAAGGCTAAATTTTGTTTATTAGTGCAATTATTCCATTTTCTCCTTTGCTCATTTGTTGTTTGGATATCTATTATATTTTCTTTCGGATTTTTTCTTATTTTATTTAAATTTCTTTTCTTAATAATATGACATTTGATACAGTTAAAATTATTTTCTTATCAATAAAATTTCTATATCATATTGATCAAAATTGTGTATTTTACTACCAGTTAGAACTGATATACTCGCCATTCTATTATGGTTTATCAATAATTCGTCTATGCTTTCGCTGGCCATTCGATCTATTTTCACAATCAAATATCTTCTTTTTCAGACATAACTAATGATCGACTGATAATTCTTGAATTGAGGGTGTGGGTGTGGGTGTCAACCTTGCTCTTTTCCACACACCCACACCTACACCCACACCCCACACGATAACACCACCATTACTATAATCACACGTTAAATGGTTTCTTGAACAAAAATATGCTTCATATCTGCTGTTGTTACTTGTTTTATACAACTTGGATGGTCTTCATTATCGGGATCTTCGAGTTTAACTATTAAGGTCGAAGGGCCTTTTTGATCAAGAATTTGAAAAGGACCTTCATATTTTTCTTGGAACTTGGATGTTCGATTAATAACTCGAATTAAAACTGAATCACCTTTATGGTATTTTGAATCAGATCGATTTGTATCAAATCGATTCTTTGCTAATGTACCTTGATGTTGAATTGTTGATTGGGCATAATCAATAATTAATTTTCTTGATTTTTTTACTTTATCATAATATTCATTGGATTTCATAAGCAATACTTTCAGCTGCTTGGGATCCATAAGCAGTTGACTTTTTCGGGTGAACATCAGATGAAATGGTGTTAAAGCTGTTGTGGCATGCTGGCTAGTATTATATGCATATATTACCGCCTGTAAATAATCATCCCAATCTTGTATTTGATTCGAAATTAATTTTGATAATGCAGGCGCAAATGTGACATTAAATCTTTCTGTTTGAGCATTTGATGTTGGGTGATATGGAGTAGCGAGAATGTGAGTAGTGTTACACGATTCCATTACCGTTCGTGTTAATTCAGCTACAAAATGTGATCCTTGATGTGTTATTCATTTAGCTGGAGCACCAAAATGATAACATACATCAAGAAAAAATTCAGCTGCTTCTTGAGCTGAATTAGTTTTTACAGCTTTTGCGAACACAAATTTAAACAAATAATCAGTCTTTGTAATTACATATCGATTACCTTTGGTTGTTGAATAATTCATCGGACCCCAATAATTCATGCCTACTGAACCCATTACTTCATAGGCATAAGGTTTATTTTACCAGGTCGTTTGGTTCTTATATAATTGTGCTTTGAACATTTTACACAAGATTTTATATAATTTGTTATTGTACAATGCATATTAGGCCAATAATACTTGTTCATTAATTTATATGATGTTTTATTATTTCCAAGATGTGCTGCCGTATGATGATCATGATAAAGAAAAAGCACTTGGTGTATCATAGATTTCGGGATCCATGGCAATTAAAATTTTGTTTTTCAACGTAAAACCAATTTATATATTATACCATCCATGATTGTATAATCATCATTATTAACTAAATGTTTTATTTTTTCTTGAATTTCTCGGTCTTGTATTTGTTCTTCCTTTAATTTTTTCAGGCTAAAACCCATGTTCATTGGATGAGTTTTATTTATATGGTTCGATGATAAACATGGAATATAATCATTATTTGTATTCGATGATGGTGATGGATTATGTTTCCTTAATTTACCAGTTCTTGAACGAGTATTATAAATGGTAGTTGTTTTTTAAATTGATGAATCATCAATTGATGTGATTTGCTGTTGATCACCTAATTGTTTTGTTGAATCATAATTTCGAGCACGAGTAACAACATTAATAGTTGCTATTGGTTGAAGATCAGGTTCTTCGTCATCTAATTCAGATCCATAAGAAAATAAATAACCTTGTTCTTGTTTTCTAATGTGAATATTATTTAAACTATTTTCATTTTCATTATTATATAATGGATAACGAGATAATAAATCAGCATCACAGTGGCATTTACCTTTTTTATAATTAATTTCAGTAATATTATATTCAGATAATATTTCAATCGACCATCTATCAAGACGTCCATTACGGGACTTCTTTTTATGAAATTGACACAATGGACAATGATCAGTTTCGACCTTTAACTCTTTACCAAGTAGATATGGACGGAATTTCATAATAGACCATACCATTGCTAATGCTTCCAATTCGGTGGTAGAATATTGAAATTCACTTTCTGTTAATGTACGTGATAAATAATAAATAATTTTAATTTTGTTATCTTCACTTGTTTGCTTAAGTACTGCTCCCAGCCCAAAAGTTGAAGTATCAGTTGATAATGTAAATGGTAATGCTGAATCTGGAAAATCTAATACTAATTCTGGACCAGTAATAATTTGCTTCAATTGTTGAACAGCTTGTCGTTGTTCATCACCCCATTTAAAATTGTGTTTATTATTGTTGGTTAAATTAGTAACACAATGTAATGGAGCAGCTATTTTTGAAAACTTTTTATAAATTTTCTATAAAAACCAATATCACCTATAAATTGATTAGCTTGTTTTAATGTTGGGCAATTCGGTAGTGGTAATTCATGAATTGCTTTTATGTTATTGTGCAGCGGAGTAATACCATGTTGATCGATCGAGTATCCTAAATAATCAATTTTTTCGTTCATGATTGAACATTTACTTGGATTTAATTGAAATCGGTGTTGATCGAGTACGCGGAGAATTTCTTGAAGATGATTAATATGATCATTAAATGTTTTACTAAAGATAATGATATCATCAAGATAACTTAAACAATATTGTTCACGACCATTAACAATTAAATTATACATAATTCTTTGGAAGCTGGGTGGGGCATTTGTTAAACCCATCGGCAATACGTTGAATTCCCAAAGACCAAATGTTGTTATAAATGCTGTGTTGGATTTATCATTCTCACTAACGGGGATCTGAAAATATCCCGAACGTAAATCTAATTTAGAAAAATAAGAATTTCCAGCGAGTTGTTGTAGTGTTGATTCAATTGTCGGTATTGGAAACGAATCTTTAGTGGTGATTGCATTAAGCTTCCTGTAGTCTACTACAAATCTATAATCGCCACTTTTTTTTCTTAATTAATATAACCGGAAACGACCACGGAGAAGATGATGGCCGAATTAAATTTGATCATTCCATTTGATTGATTATATCTTTTAAACCTTGTTGTTGTTGTAATGAACATTTATAAGGAATTGAATTAATTGGTGGATGATCACCTGATGATATTCGATGTTGAAGTGATGTTACTGCTATTGTTGAAGAAGATATATCGAATATCTTTTGATATTGATGCATGACATTTCGTGTTTTATTTTTATGTGATAAATTTGTAATGTGCTGTATCATTTCATCAATAGTTTTTTCAATATCATGAATAGCATGTGGTGTTTGTGGTGATGAATTTTTAAGTGTATTAATAGAATATGATGTCTTGGATAAACAATGTTTCATCATCGGTTTATAATTTTTATAGTTATGAACAACACTATCATTTGTATTTTTTAATGTAATAGATGATGGTGAAACTAATTTACTATCAGATGATGTACGGCACTAGCACATATCGTCGCAATCATTTCGTCGCACGACACTTCGTAGCAGAAAAATTCTTTTCGTTCTGTTCGTCCCTATCTATTTGTCGCTTCTCTCTTAATGAATTATTTTTTTTGTGTATAACCAATGGAAATAGCATAAATTAAATGAAAAATTACCAGAGATGTTTACAAAAGTGATAGATAATTAATTGTGCTAAGACATATAATTTTAATTCCGTAAAAGGATCAATAAAAAATAGTATTCTCATTTAATTGTGATAGTGCTAAAGCTAATAAAGACTAATCAAAATGGTCGCTCGTTGCATGAATTTCAGTGTAATCTAAACTAAAAAACATTGATCCGAGATTCTTAACTATGGAACCAATAAAAAAAATACATTTCACTTCTCAATTTCAACTTTCAATGTGCACTACTTCTCAAGCAAAATGTCTGAAACAGGAAAACTGTTTTTTTTTATAAAAGAAAAAGCAATGATGCTTCAAGGTTACATCTATACAAAAAAACGTACAATAACGACGGAATTTATTCTTCGATCTCAGAATCAAGATTGTAAAGCTAAGATCTTTTTGAACATCAGTCAATTAATTGAAATAAAAATCATTTATCAATAAAACTCGTCGTTATGCCAATTTATCCTTGAACACATTTCTCTCAGCGCTAATATCACACTCTCATGCTCCGAAGCCCGGTCGTTTTCATATTATCTAATTAAAAATTGACATTAAAATTCGGCTGATCAACTTCCTCGGCTCAACTCAACTA